GAAACAATATTAAAAATGAAAGGTTTAAATTCTTATATTAATGATAAAATTAATAATATTCCTAAAGGAATAACAGAAAATAATAAAGTTATTAATGGTATTATTGTAAAACAAATAATTAATTATGGAAATGAAGAAGTAAAATTTGAATCTGTTGTTCCTTTCACAAATTTTAATCATCATTTTTATTATGATGATAAAACTTATAATCTCAAACAAAATAATTTATTTATTTCATTTGGAAGAAAATCAATTGATTGTTCAGCAATAATGAAATATTGTTGTAACTCAAATTCAAGTGATGAATATGTTTATACATATAGTAATAAAAATTATTATGTAGCAGAAATATATTATGTATTTAATCAAACAAAATCAAATGAATATGAAATAAGTTTATGTCATATTAATTTAGATGGAAGTTATAATAAAATTAAAACATTTGATAAAATTAAAGTTTCAGATTTAGTACAAGAAAGAGAAGAAACAATTGATGAAACAGAATATATATTACCATCATTACCAAAACTTACAGTATAATTATAAATGATCTTTTTATTTAATCAAATTTCATCTTATAATTTTCACTTTCATTTTTATAATCATGCACAAACGTGGTATGCTTATTTTTACTGGATCTATTGGAGTTGGAAAAACATCAACTATTGATGCATTTATGAAATATTTTGAAACAGAAAGTGTTTGAAGAATAAAAGAATATATTGATTATTCACCAATAGAAGGAAAAAAGTTACTTAACGGAGTAACGAATGGAACAATAAGAAATTATACATTACAAAAGTTTATTATTCAATGTTATAAAGAACAATTGGAAAACAATAAAAATAAAAAATTACTAATTTTTGAACGTCATCCTCGTGAAGCATTAAAAGTATTTTGTGAAATAGATAAAACAAAAAAAAAACAATTAATTACGTGTTAATAGAATTAGTATCTATTGTTCTTATCTTCTAGTAATTCATTCAATTATGTTTGGTTATGGTAGAACTAATGTTCCATAATGTTCATTTTGTTTTTTTGGTTATATGGTTTTATCTTCTTTTATGTTGTTTATTTCTTTTATGTTTTAATGACTTCTGTATTTAATAATCAATTTATTGAATTTATTATTTTTATTTTATCTTCTTTTTCTTTATCGATTTTTTGTGTTTCTTTTCTTCAAATATAATCAATTAATATTATATGTTCATATCATTTATTATTAAATTTTATTTTTATATATTACATATATATTCTTTTGTAAATTATCAATATTTTTTTGAATTAGTTATTTAATTTCATAGTGATATATAAGATTATTGTTTCATATTTGATTTCATTTGTTGATAATTTCATTTATATTTACTAATTATTAATATTAATATGATTATATTTTCAATTTGTGAATTATTATGAATAATACAAGATAATAGAATATATTTTATTATTGATATTTTATCATTATAAAATGTTGAATATTTAATCATTTTTAATATTTTATCTTTTCTATACAAAATGAATATTACTCTAACTTATATTTTATTTAATAAAATAAATTCATTCATTTTAATAATGGTTGAATTCAATGAATTTAATATAATAAATTTTAACTATAAAAAATGAAACAAAACATTTTCTAAAATATCCATTTATTTAATTTCGGGAAACAAAATAAGCGAAGAAATTATGCATCTAAATAAATTGCTCAAATGAAAATGGTGTAATATATTTTTTGCATATTAGAATATTCTGTTTTCGGGCAAAATATTTTGAATCAATAAAATAATAGTCTTTATTATTTTGTTCTTAAAAAAAAAAAATAAAAAATAAAAAAGTAAATTAAATAATCATTCTATATTCATTTATATTTCTTTATATTTTATATCATTTTATGATAAATTGTTCTGAAATATAAATGATTCAGAAATGATATTTGATTCAATGTATGTATACAGTATTATTATATTATTATTATGTTATTTATGTATTTTATTTTATATATTTATGTATTTTATTATATTTATATTTATTTTTATTATTATATTATATATATCATCATATTATCTATATATTTTATATTTATCTTATTTTATTAGTTTGATATTCTTATTATTTATATTTTCTTTAAATTCATATATTTCTATTTATATATAATTTATTATATATTAATATATTTCTTTATCTTATTTTCATTTTGATTATATTTTTATATTTTATATCTTCTTTCTCTTTATATTTATTATTATTTTATTTATATTATATTGATTTTATTTATCTTTTCTTTTATACATTTTATTTATTATTATATCATTTCTCTTATTATTTCTTTATCATTTATTATTATTCATTTAATTTTTATATCTTCTATCTATATCATATGAATTTATTATTTATTATTTATTACATATTATATATTAATCATATAATATTTATATTTGATTATATATTATCTTTTTCTTCTTTTTCTTCTTTTTTATATTATTTTATTTTTTATTTGAATATATTTGTTTTTGTATTTTTGTATTTATTTTATTTCTTATTTTTGTGTTTATTTTATTCTTATTTATCATATTTATTATTTATAATATGTTATATTTGATTTTATTAATTATATTAATTAGTATTTTATTAATATAAATATTATGTTTATTATTTTATTATTTATTTATTTTTATTATTTATTTTATCTTTTCTTATTATTCTTTTATTATTTTATGTTTATTATATTTTATTTTTATATTTCTTTTTCTATTATTTATTTATTATTTTTATTTATTATATATATTTCTTTTTGAGTTTATTCTTATTCTATTATTATTTATATTTTTTATTTATTTTATTCATTCGATTGTTTAATAAAAAATGTATTCAATTTTATTATTTGTTTATTATTATTATTTATTTTTATTTATATATTAATTTGATTATTATATTTGTATTATATCATTTTTATATTTATTATTATTTATATTTTGTATTATTATTTATTATTATTATCATTTTTATTTTTATTTATCATTTTGTATTATATTATTCAATATTTCATGAATTTAATATTTATTATGAAAT